CATCTTTTTAAGTGGGAGAACTTGCACAATTGGTGGCTGACTAAATACTTTTTTGCCCCACTGTAAGGAATTAGTTGGGCTTTGATAAATTGTTCAAAGTATACTCTTCATTCTTTCCCTTCCCAAGGGGAAAGTTTTAAAAAGGAGAGCTGAATCCATTTTAGTTTTCCAAACATGTTGTACCTCACAGTAGGAATAGGTGAGGCTCACTTCTCGGGGATGTTGCTGTCTGGTCTCTTCCAAATACTGGTTCTTGACTTAGAGATGCTGGGGGCACCTTCAACTATCACAATTGTGCCTGAGCTTTAATTCAAACTGTTTTAACAACTTATTTGTCAGATGGTTAGAGGAGAAGGATGTTGCATTCGTTTTATGAGCGTTATTTTTTATGAGAGCTCTTGTTTATTCATAGTAATATTAACTACACAAACCCAATGCCAGCCCTACAAGGTGGACAGACCAGGAAACTGACTCCACAGGATGGTTAGAACTGTATTTTATTGTGATAAGCTTTAGCAACAGAATCTTGGCTAAGTTTTCCCTTCCTTGCCTCTTATACCCCCGAGAGTCAGAGGTGGGGGGCTAGTCTGAGTCTCTTTGTAATGCCCTCTCATCTCTCTGCACTTTTCACATGTTTCCTCTGTACTGTCCCTGGTGTTTTCCTAACGGCCTCTGGATGCCTTCTTTAAGGTCATCTCCCTGGTCCCCCTACACCCAGAAATTTAACTAACATTGTGCGGGGGGGGGGGGCATCTTCCTTTTTCATGCCAGCATTTTAAGGTAAGGCAACTAGGACAAGATCTGTACTTGTGCCCTTTTCATATCTTTATTGCCTTTTCAATTGCGAGCCTTAACATAAACAGTATTTTGTAATGCAGTCTTTTGCATACTGCAAGTTGTAGCGTCTTAGTGGGTTGTTGTTGTTTTTTTGTATTTAATGAGATTGTGCACACTTTGAAAATGATGAGGAAGAAAGCTTCAAACCTTGTGCAAGCACTTTTCTACTATTCATTAAAGCTTTCTTTTTTTGAGAACTTGAAAAAAAGTATAGCTGCTTTAAGGAGTTATTAGATTAACTTCTTAAAGCAGTCACATCATTTTTTGGCTTGTGCAAAATCCTGAAGAAAGTAGGGCTGCTTTAATGATTAGCAGAGAGGTGCTGTGTTCACAAAGGGATCTGAAGTGCTTCTTCTTTACATTCTGAGGCATACTCATGGTCCTGGTATTCCATACTATTTGCTACTTGCTTAGTTGGCTATTTTTAATATTAGCTGATATTATACTTTATGGTAGTATTTTACAGATAACCCTGCCCTTAGGATCTTTACCACATGGCTAGACTTTTAAAACATGCCTTTTTTTTATATTGCATATTTACATTCTGGGAGCTGATGTATATATAATTATAAACTATTCTATAAATGTTAGATAATGATTACTGCTGTTATGGATGAGCTAGACTTCTGCCTTGCTATCCTAAAGGAAGCCCATAACTTGGTAGCCTTTAATTCTATATTTCTAATAAATATAGAATTAAAAAACACAATCTCTGAAAATGTCTCTTTCTGCTGCTCAGCTGAGTCCTACTCCATGGAGTTCTTCTCATAGGAGTGTCCACTGCCAAACTGTAATTCTGCTTGACCTGCATCAACATGACTGGAACAGCTTCAAGTCTATCTCCAACAATGAGTGTTTGCAAAAACATCTTACATCCCAAGTCTACTGTTTTCCCTCAGTAATACTTCTGTGTTTTGATCTGTGTTCATAAGTCAGTTATAGTAGTTCCAACCACTCCGAATAGCCAGTTGAGATGGTCATAACATTTCTGTTTTTGCAGATAGATACAACCATGGATTTTTCACCCTATTCATTGCGTCCAAGCTTCTTTTGTTTGGGGAGAGGAGCGGAGGAAATGACTTCAATAAAAAGCTCTGCCTTCAATTATCACAGCAGCCCTGTTTAGCTGTTTTTCAAGTCCTATTATTTCAACTCATGTAAAGGGCTTGGGCCAGGCGTGTTGACTCTTTCCCTTCAGTCCACAAGATGTAAAGGGAGACCCTGTGTTCTATGTCCTTTGAGGCCTTAAGAAGACTAGCGTGATTGCATGAACACAAAATGAAGAGTCATTTGGCAGGCAGAACACTGTAAAACGATTGAACGGGATATGTACCAGTTGCTTTGCTGTAATGAATACATTTATTATACTTCATCTGGAGACCTGTTGATTAAGTTTATGGTATTTTCTAGATTTATCCTCAATTTCTCTCCTTCCTGCTATTGAACATCTTTATTTTCAACTGTGTGATTTATTTTTCCTCCTCCTCACTTATAGATATTATGCAGATATAGCTAAAATGCCAGCAATCAGTGATCAGGACATGAGCGCCTATTTGGCAGAGCAGTCACGGTTACACTTGAGCCAGTTCAACAGCATGAGTGCCCTGCATGAGATCTACTCATACATTACCAAGTACAAGGATGAGGTAAGTCGTAGCAGAGCTCTTAGACATATCTTAATATAGCTATTTACCTCTGTTTTTCCTTTTTCTTCTGGCCCACAAAAAGAAATCCAGAGTGTAGCTGCTTTTATACCACTGTATACTCCTCATATCATTTCTTACCTTGGACATAGTTGCATAGCCAACTAATGAACACTCGCTATTCAGATAGTATCCTGGAACATCTCCATGCACATATAAAAGTAGCTGTATTTTTTATATTTTAAAAACAATCTGTGATGTATAAAAGCAGTAAACAAAAGAACACAAAGATGTGCAGAATACTTGTTATGTTCCAAAATCAGTAATTAAAGATTGATCTAGGCATTTACTTACAAAATATCATAGTTGTGCCTGCCATTTCTATTATGTGGGGCAAACCTATCTGGGATTTGGCTCATTTTAAACTAAAAAAGATGCTTGTCTTCCTGAACAGCTAGTCATTATTAAAAGGATGTGATCCAATTATCCATTTGTTGAGATAATAGAGCTATAGAGGAACCAGTTACAGAGAATTACTGAAACAGAATTATTGAAAGATGCTGATTCTTTCTTAAAACCAATCTCCCTCTTTCTGAAGCCTTTTTTCCCCAGTCCTGACTAGCAACCCTGACATTTGGATGGATGAGAGATGAACGTTTGCCAAGTAGTAATAATTCCTAATCCCTGTCCATCAATACTTCTTCTTCTGATGTTGATGATTACCTCCTTGAGCCCTAGTGACTTGTGCATATAGTTTTTCTGGAAGCTCCATTGTCTTTTTACTTCATACAGGTAGTCCTTGCTTAACGACCACAACTGGGACTGGAATTTAAGTGACTAAGCGATGTGGTTGTTAAGCAAATCATCACATGACCAGACTCGATTTTATGACCTTTTTTGCAGCACTCATATTGTTAAACGAATCATGCAGTCATTAAGTGAATCACTTGGCTCCCCATTGATTTTGCTTGCCGGGAGCCAGCTGGGAAGGTCACAAATGGTTATCACGTGACCCTGGGACACTGCAACCATCATAAGTGCGAGCTGGTTGTCAAGCATCTGGATCGTGATCATGTAACTGTGGGGGCACTGTGACGGTCATAACTTCAGGCCCCGGTCATAAGTCACTTTTTAGTACCATCATAACTTTGAACAGTTGCTAAACAAACGGTCATTAAAGGAGGACTACTTGTATAACCTACAGCCCTGGGATTCTGTGGATGTCTTTCATCCAGGAACTAACCAGGCCCAACAAGCCCAGACAAGGTCAATCAGGTACTGCCACCTGCCAAGACCTTCTACTGAAGCTCCTTTGAGCTTCAATAGAAGGTTGATATTGGGGTTGATATTGAACCTCCTTTGAGCCCTGCATTTGCATGGCAAAGAGGGGACACCTTGTTTCTTTTCTAAAGTTTAGATATGCCCTCAGGTATTCTTATCTGCCCATTATCATTCATACTTCTTCCTTTCTCCTCCTATTTTGATATTAATTGCTCAAACTAACAAGCACAGGCTGTTCTTTTTTATAACAAAACAAAACAACTTTTCTAAAACAAAAAAAAATCACAACAATGTTTCAGCAGATAAGTAATGGGCAACTAAAAATGGAGGAATTAAATCACTGAAGGGAACACATCTCATTAAGTAAACAAATCAAATAAGAAAAAGAAGAAATATCTATCAACGTACACCTGAAGCTCTTAACTCTCTAAATGAATGTATTCTGTGTCAGCTATTCTGGGTCATTTCATTGAGCCCATGTACAAATGACCTTATTTATAATTTTGAGGTGGGGTGACATTTACTATCACAAGAGAGTCACTTCATAAGCCTATAAAGTTTTAAGTGTGGTTAAAAAACCATATACTGTAATTGGTATGAACAGCAGAAAGTAGTTTTGAACACATTCTCTACAATCCTTTATTAAAGCAATAAAATATATAACACTAATAAAAATATATGTAATGGGGTTATATGGATTTTATTGCCCAACAGAAAGATGATGAGAGCTGGGAGAAGGGGATTGGTTGCTTATATAAGATAATGAAAGCATTTGTACCAAACCTTGCCAAACAGCTCTGCATTGTTATCTAAGCAAGGCTTAGAAATAGGTTCCTTCAGCGGCTAGTAAGGATAGTGGCCTACTACCTTAGACTCATAAGTGTGAATAGAGATCAAGAATTCTTATAGGAACCTGAGATCTAGCAAAACAGATAAAAGAAAAATAATTCATGACTGTATAGCTAGGTTTAGCAAGCCAGTTTGCTGTAGTGGTTAAGGCACCAGAAAGAAAATTACAGGCACTAGTCCAGGCAGTCATCAGTCATCAAAACTGACTTGAAGGCACCATAAACAAACAAACAAACAAAAAATAGCTAGGTATAAATCTTTGGGAACCTTTGTTGATATTCAATCATTGATTTGATAAGTTACTTCAGCATAGATGTGTAGAGCCACCTCCCTTTGTACCTGCAGTTATTTTATTTTTAATAGAAAGCTAACATGCCACTAAAGTCAGTCTCATTTTTATTTCCAAAAGTCTTTGGGCTCACAAAAGTTTAGGGTTATTAAGCAATAAAAATGATGGGTGGTCACAGCTTTGTGCTGGAACTATGGCCACATGCCAGAAACAGAAGGGAAGGGAAGGGAGGGGAGGGGAGGGGAGGGGAAAGAGAAAGGAAAGGAAAGGAAAGGAAAGGAAAGGAAAGGAAAGGAAAGGAAAGGAAAGGAAAGGAAAGGAAAG